TATGTGTGTGGTAAATAAGCAACACTTAAATGTTAACTCTGGGCTAGGCACTCTTTTAAGAATTTTATATATATTAACTCTTAATTGTCATAAAACTGTACTAGATACTGAAGTAGATACGGTTTTATTGCCATTTTTACAGATGAGGACACTAAGGCAAAGAACTTAATAACCATCAGAAAAGTCACATAGATTTGTGTCTGGAGTTGAGGTTGAATTCAGGTAGCCAGACTTCTGTTTTCATACTCTTAACTACCACTAGCTGATCTCTACCAAGTTTTTATGAGGAATTCTGTTTGATTTAGAGTAAATTCTAAAGGTGTGAAGTAAGTTAAATGTTAATCAGTAGCCTTAATGCTCCCAGATGGTATTGGTATTTTCAATGAACAACCTTCTTGATCCAGTAGAGGAACTGTTTAAAAGTAAAGGCCTCAGGTAGGTACCAAGAGAAAAAAACAGGAGCAGTTTGGCCTCTTACTGGAAACACACACGTACAGTGCTGTAATTTTAAACCACTTGGTTTTAATTTGGGGGTTAATGTGCATATTTTATTTCTTGGATCGTAAATCAGACCTGCTTTTTTATAAACCAGCCAGCTTTTTATACTCAGTCCTTACTATCCAGTTCCTAGATCCGGTTTCATGCAGTCTGAACTTCTTGTCATTTCATAAACATTTCACCTTCTTTCACATTCCCATGCTTTTGGACATGCTGGTTTATGCTGCCTGGAACGCCCATAATAATGATGATTATAATAATTTGAGTTTTTATACTGGGCATTGACTTAGATCTAGGAAGTTTTTGGTTCTAGATTTAGTGATCCTACCTCTTTCAGTTCTGGTGGGTTGTGGAGTCTTACTTCCCTTGCCTCCTTCCTTCTCTTGTCATTCAAACCCTTGCTTAGAAGTGACTTTAATATCATCTTCGTAAAAGATACCCCCAAACAGTCACCCTTTTCCTCATTACCTTTTCTTTTTTAAAAGAACACTTATGAATTTTACAAGTTGTAAAACAAAATTTTGCAGTTCGTTAATGGATTTATTGACCCTACTAAACATATGACTTTTTCAAGGAGAGGAACCTAGTTTCAACTTTTCTCTTTCCCTTTCCTTCTCCATCAGTCATGAATGCCCAGGAAATATTGAAGGGCTGAGTCTTCTTAAAACTTTATCTCACTTTCTGGGCCAACAGCTAACTAAATGTGGGATCAGGGACAGATGGCAGATTTGAAAGGGAGCTGGAAGTTGGGGAGAAAGGCAGCAGCAGACGGGAATGCCCATGTCTACCGCGGCACTGCAGGGCTCTAACTCACTAGCCACACGTGGCTTTTTACATGTAAAAGAATTAAAATTAAAAATTCAGTTGCTCAATTGTACTGGCCTCATTGGAAGCACTTGACTAGACTCTAATGCCTAGTGGTTAGTGGGCAGCTCTGGTAATAGAATATTTCCATGAATGCAGAAAGTTACATTGGAACCTTTAGTTATTGCTTCCAGTAAGCATTCTTTGTAGTCCTTAACTTCCAGATTTTAAGAATAGGGTGTGAACTTAGAGTTAATGTTTAAGATAGCACTCAAGGCTTCAAAAGAAGTTTTTACTTATATGGTGCTGTGGATATAGTCACTTAACTTCTGTTGGTAAAGATCAGTTAGTAGAAAATTTTTTTAAAAAATCTCATCTTCATAGGGTACAGTGAAATTTTAAGACCCAGTTCTACTTTCTGATTTACTTTATCTTTGGTATCCTTGAAGTAAATCCTTTTTTTTTTTTTTTTATGATGGAGGAGCTCATTACATTGTCATTTTTTATTTTTATATAACCTGATCATTTCCATTTTTGCAGTCAATGCCTGACACCTCTGAGCTAGAACTTCTTTTAAAAAATCAAAAATTATGAATTAAGTGGATTCTTTTGGGATTGTTAAGTGGTTTATATAGGTTGTATAAAATGGTGTTATAAAACCTTTCATGGATTTATTGTGTGCCTAGAATATGCATATTGTGATAGTCTGGGTAAGAAACACCAAGAAAAATTGCTAAAGTTTAGAAGTAGAGAAATGTAGTAGCTTATACAGTTGTAAAGTCTTTTGGCTGCTTTCACAGTGCAACTGAAAATATGATATTTGTTGCAGTTTTTGCGTGAATTCATCAGCACAAAACACTAGATGTCAGTATTGTAGTTTTGACATTTTACCAGAAGCTGGTACAGACTTCTGTTTTTCATCACCCAGGTATTCTTCACTGACACAAACTTTTAAGCCACTATGCCTCTTTATATTTAGATAAATGTCTTACTAGAAGAAGCACTTGTCACAGAATTGGTTATTTTGTAATTAATATCTGTGCAGTGCTACTAACTCAGGAATAAAACCTGTATTTTTTTCATCCAGTTACATTCTCTAAACTTTGTTTCTCCGTGTGCTTTCCCGGGAACACTGGTCCTAGGGGATGCTTCTGAGGGAAAAACTCTGCGACACTGAAAACTGAGATCTAGCAGACACTCAGATTCATCAAATTGAATGATACTGCTAAAAGCTTGTGTTTGGCGAAATCTGAGTCCTTTTTAAAATATTTTATAAATAATACAATTCTTAAATCACCTGTATTTGTATGTCAAAGCTTAGAATCACACATCCAGCCTGCAGGATACAGAGAAGGCTTCAAATTAAATATGTGGCAAATGAGTTTCTACCTAAAAAAAATTTTTTTCCGGATAAAGAAATGTGTAGAGTGTCCTGACTCCTTATTTCAGCTCATGATCTCAAGGTTGTGTCGGGCGCCGCACTGGTCTCTGTGCCTGCTTAAGATTCTCTCTTGCTTGCTTGAGCGCTTTCACTCTCTCTCAAAAAAAAAAAAAAAAAAAAGTCCAGCATAGCATAGTATGGCAGTAGAATTATTAGCAATTTCTTCCATTGTCTCCTTTACTTTTTGATAACATTGATGCACTGTTATCACACTTTGAAGATACTTTATTTTTACTTATATGCTTGAGGTTCATTTTTTCCATATGTGTAAAATGTCTTAAATGTTTTTATTTTCCATTTTCTAATGTTAGAAATTTTCATCTGAACCATATTAAATAATTTAGTTTTATATCTTTTTTTTTTTTAAATATTTTTTTATTTATTTCTAGGAGAGAGAGAGAGAGAAAACAGTGTGAGCAGGGGAGGGTCAGAGAGAGAGGGAGTCACAGACTGAAACAGGCTCCAGGCTCTGAGCTGGCAGTCAGCACAGAGCCCGACGCGGGGCTCGAACCAACGAACCGCGAGATCATGACCTAAGCGAAAGTCGCCCCAAGTTTTATATCTTTTTCATTTCATGATTTCCCAACACTTAAATAAAGGTATTATGCAAAAGTAATAGCAGAATCACAGGTATTATAATGATTAGCAAAGTCGGATCTTTCTGGCACATCTCTCTTAATTCGTGGTTTTATAGAGGCGAGAGGATCACTCAAGAGTTAAGAGCTGACTATACATTCAGCTCCTTTTATTTTGGTCATGACAATAAGCTGAATTAAGGGGCGGGAAGCAGAAACTGTTTAGGAAAAACAATATGCATGTTAATAGAAATGACTTAAATAAGAAAGGTGAGAATTGAGTTGAGAGGCAGATTATTTTGAAGTAACAACAAAAAGCAATGAGACTTCTCAGAAGTAGAAGCGGACATTCTGGTTATGAAACTGCGCTACGGTCCGGGCAGAGGGACCCCGACGCAGTGCTTTGTTAGCTCCGCTTCTGCTTATGAAGAAATATTCCAAGTTACTAAGCTGTTGGATGATTTTCTCCTTTGAAGTGTTTCTAATAAGCTCCATAGGCTTCTGAAGAACAAAACGGAAGCTGTCCAGAAGGCTCTCGCTCCTGTCGCCGTAGGTAGGCCACGCTGGCGCTCCTGTTGGTCAGGTGCGGTGACTCCAGCGTGGAGAGAGCAGCAAAATTTAAGGTTCAAGAGCTTCTCAGCAAGTTGATTTTCAAGCAAGGCCACTGACCACACTCTTCTTTCTGCCGACCCTCTGACCCGTTATTTGAGTCTTAAAGATGAACAAGCTGGCAGGGGTGCCTGGGTGGCTCAGTCAGTTAAGTGTCTGATTTCAACTCCAGTCATGGTCTCATGGTTTGTGAGTTGAGCCCTGCACGGGGCTTTGTGCTGTTAGCAGGGAGCCTGCCTTGGATCCTCTGTCCCCTTCTCTCTTTCCCTCTCCCACTTACATTCCCTCTCTCTCTCTCTCAAAAATAAACAAACATTTAAAAAAAGATGAACAAGATGGCAAATAACCCATCTATACTTTTTGTGGAGATGGTGCATGATAAAATCCAGCAGTCCACTTTCGTATCTGCAACTAAGAACTTGATGTTGTCATCCGGTTACCATTGAATCTTCAGTATCTTGGGTTGGTATTACTTTATTAGATTATTTTTCAGAAATGTTAAAACACCTAATTTTATAATGTTACATGCAAATTCTATGAAAGGAGGCTGTGTTTTTTTGTCTTGTTTTTTAGATGTTTCTACACACAAATTTCAGAATTTTGAATCTCTGAGTCAAATCCCTATAGAGAGGTTATTCTGACTTCCCTATACCATGGAAACATTGTACCATTTCCTTGATGATCACAGTTGTTTGTTAATTGTTTTAAAAATATAATTTTCATCAGTCTCTTTGAATAGTTTAATGACACAGTTAAGGCCCATGGACTTGAGCGCACCCTACACTGCCCCCATGTCTGCACCTGCTGCCACCTTGATGGAGGTGGTGTGGGCTGGCGGATTTGTTTCTGCTACCTGGGTCCTGGGTGCAGAAGCCCAGCATGACTGAGCCAGGTCTTTGGAGGCTGATGACAGTAGGATGGAGGATCCTTTTGCCCTCTGCTGGTGCCGCAGAGAAGTCCCTGCTTGCGAGAATGCAGGCAGCTGGAGGACTGTTAGCTGTAGGAAGGATCTCGGGGGTCTGGCGTGGCCTCGGCAGCCTCCAGTATTTAAGTTAATTTGTCGCTACTCTTAGGTTCTGTAAGAAGCTATGGATCAGAAAAGGATCACTTTTCTACTGATGATGAAGCAATGGAAGCTGACAATGAAGATGAAGTTGAACCCCGTGGCAGTGAAAATGGAAATGCAGCGGAAGCTAGTGTTGGAACTAATGTGGGCTGGGCGGATGCAATGGCCAAAATTCTTAACAAAAAAACTCCAAGAAGCAAACCCACTATTCTAGTCAAAAACAGAGAGCTGGAAAAGGAAAAAGAAAAGTTAAAACAAGAGAGACTAGAGAAAAGAAAACAGGTGTGTCTTAAACCAGTTGTTCTGTAGATTAGATTGTTTTCCTCATTTGGTTGCCTGGTCCAGTTCCCATTCTAGTTTTTAACTTGCTTTTTACATAGGAGTGAATAACCAAAGTTTGTTTAGAAACTTCATCTAAATTACTCCATTGAGCACATTCACATTTTAAGCATCTAAGCAAAGAACTAGAAATTAAACTCCTGAGAAGTGTATCCTTTTAAAATCAAGTAAATTATACGTGCGGCAGTGACTCCTAGGTCTAAATATTTCAGTTTTGCTGTTTGTATCATCATTAGGTTCTGAACCAATACAATCCTGTTAGTTACTTTTTGCTAAAAACCTATTTTGTAATATAAATCTAGAGGATGTCATCCTCAGGGATTGGTTGCAGTTCTGAAAGCAGACTATTTCCGTGCTAACCTTGAATTAATTATAACTTGTTAAAGCATTGATGATAGAAGTTAGACTTACAGAGTCTGTTGATTAGAGGCCAGAAGTTGGACTTCAGTTTGCCATTGTGTATTATAAAAATAAAGAAACAATAATAAGGTTTTTAAATCCCTTGTACTTGATGATGTATTTCCATGTATAAAATACTTTTTTAATGAAAGAAAAATAACTTTCTATAATCGTACTGACAGTATAAAAGTACTGATTTCCAAGAGGTACTTCCTAGGTAAAAAAGAAAAATAGATTTGAATTGGCATCTCTTTCCTTTTAAGTTCATCCTCCCCCTTAGCTTGTTTCAAGATGAATTATTTCCTTTGTTTCTAATACTGGTTACTCGGTGCAGAAGGCTATATAGGAAAGTGGGATTTTTCAAGCCTTGCTTTTAGAAACAGAACATACTCTGTTATTAATTCTGCATTCTCATTTTGCTTTAAGATTAAGTTTTATCTCTAAATCTTAACTGATAGCTTTTCAACTGAAAATTTGAATCTTTATTTCCTGACAAAAGCTGAAGGAAACTTTAAAAACAGAATTCTTAATTCCTTCTAGGCCCAGTGTTCTAGTAAAAGTAAGAACATTTTGAAGCCAAGAGAGATGAGTCCCTTTACTCTGCTCCAGGCCAGTGCTTTGTAAGCTAGAGAGGATAGTGTCGGCCTAATGTATGAAAATGCAGCTGTTGGCACCAAAAACAGGACACAGTAGCTACAAGTGCTCTTATTACATATTTCTGAGTAGAGTCTAGGCAAATTATCATTATTTTGGATGTTAAATATTATCAATATCCAGAATATCAAGTTCTTATTTCTAATCATAACTATAAAAATATACTTCAAAGTTAAAAAGCATTTGGGGATTATGTATGCCTCAGGTACTACAGATGATTAAGAATCAACTATTTTAAACTTTTTTTAAAAAATTTTTAAATGTTTTATTTATTTCTGAGAGAGAGAGAGAGAGAGACAGAGCGTGAGCAAGGGAGGGTCAGAAAGAGAGGGAGACACAGAATCCAAAGCAGGCTCCAGGCCTTGAGCTGTCAGCACAGAGGCCGACACTGGGCTCGAACCCACGAACTGTGAGATCATGACCTGAGCCAAAGCCGGATGCTTAACTGACTGAGCCACCCAGGTGCCCCTCAACTGTTTTAAAAGTAAGATTTTTCAATTCTGGCATAATCTGATAGTGAATTTCAAGACAGTTAAAGTAAAGTATCTGATTTGGGGAGGAATCGATTCCTTTAGCAAGGAATCTGGCTAATCTTTTCAAGTGAGAGCAGGAATTTGATTTTACTATAATTAGACGTTTTCATTAATGCAAAATGAGACATTAGATGGATCTGGAAAAGGAATAGATAAAAGGAGATTTTTTTTCCCACTGATACCTATTACCACCTTTGATGCTCACCAGCTTCATGGTGATGAGCTCATGGTATTTAGTGTATTTGCTATTAGGTGATACGCTGGCCTGAGACCACGTATATGCTGATGGAGCATATTGATGTGTCCGCGTGTCCCAGGTGCTTGGGTGCGGAGTACTACTGAATATGCTGCTCTTCTTTTAAAAACTAATACAAATTCTTGGGGCGCCTGCGTGGCTCAGTCGGTTAAGCATTCGACTTTGGCTCAGGTCATGATATCACAGTTCGTGGGTTCAAGCCCCGCATCGGGCTCTGTGCTGACAGCTAGCTCAGGGCCTGGAGCCTGCTTCAGATTCTGTGTCTCCCTCTCTCTCTGACCCTCCCCTGCTCATGCTGTCTCTCTCTCTCTCAGAAATAAATAAAACATTTTTTAAAAATTAAAAAAAAATAAAAACTAATACAAATTCATAACAGTTCTGATACTGAGAAAGACAGTTTCTGAAAACTAAAGTGTTTAAACTTGTGGTTACTGAAGATGATAGTTTGGGGTCTTCCTGATGCTGAACCACTGATGGTCTGCTGGTGGCAGGTCGGGTGTGTGGCACTCTCACACCCCACCTTGCCCTGCCTGGCGCCGGCAGTCCCCTGCTCTGGCAGCTCTCCAGGCCCCTGCTGTCAGAGAGCCTAACGGAAACTCACTTTGTGCTTCTCACATGACATGCTGAGTGCTAACCACAGGCCCCCCGAGCTGAACCCCCAAAATGTGGGTTTTTTTCAGTCCCCATGACAAACTAAGCCAGAATGATTTATTACCTTTGTCCTTTCGCAGAGTATCATATCAAAGTATGCTGCACTTTCAAAAATGCCTAATAATCTTTCACATAACAATATTTATAACACAGCTTGATAAGAAGCGGGAATGGGAAATGATGTGCAGAGTAAAGCCAGATGTTGTCAAAGACAAAGAAACAGAGAGAAATCTTCAGAGAATTGCAACAAGGTAAGTCTGTTCTTGCCCTTTAAAAAATAAGTATACTGAAGCTTTGATAATGATCCATTTCAGACTAGACCTGATTGTTAAGCTCTGCCTTCCCTGAGCCAAGTGATTTATATCAAAACCTGCCTACTTAATACTGAATTCAGCCGACGATTTTGCAGGTCTCATGAGGCGAGAATGTAACATCCTCAGTATATATTTGGTTTGAACCTATTTCAGATCATGTTTTTTTAGTCACAAGAACACTAATTAGACATGCATTTCTCTCACGATGATTGTCTGAATTAATAGCACTAGGTGACTGGTTTTGTTACCTTGCATATGTACTTAAGGCATAAGGAATGATGCATGACAGCAACTTTATGCCGACCTTTCATTCTGCATTTTTTATCATTAGCACCAGACGTTTGTTTGATGCCCTCTGTGTCCAAAGATAAATAGAACCTGGTGGCTGCTGGGAGGTCCTGGCCTACTCTCCTGAAGGCGTTCTAGTGTGTTTGAGACTAGACGTATATCCTGTGTGCTGGGAACGCACAGCAGGAGATTGTCAGGGGACCAGGGGAAGACTGCACAGAGGAGAGAACATTTGAGCTGCTGCTTCAAGAACATAGCAATTATATGTAGGGGAATTACTCTTAATTTTCTAGCTACCTACATTTTGGGTCATTTGTTAACCCATATGGCTGTTCTGCGGTGAGATAGATAAGGGTATGAGCAATAGAGCCAGACTGCTAGGTTCCGATCCCAGTGCTGACTTAATCATCCATGCGTCCTTGTGCACGCTACCGAAGTTTTCTCTGTCTCAGTTTATTTACCTATAAAAACAGTAGAATATTATATCTACCCTGCAGGATTTCTCTGAGAAATAAATTAATAACATATAAAGAATTTAGAAAAGTGCATGGTTGGTGTACAAGAGTAAGTACTTCGTTAAATTTTATATCCTCGGCACCTCACTTTCCTCACTTGGGTCCTAGCTCTGCTCTGAAGGGTGTGGAATTTTATCCTCATATATAAGCTAATAAGCTAGACTGTTAGTTTCCTGGATACTGGCAGAAGACAGGACACTTCTGGGTCAGAGACAAAGGACTTTTGTTACTGTTGGCAAAGCAGTAGTCAGAGCATCACGTTCCCACCGGTTCCCTTTGTCCCTCAGGGCAACACAGGTGCCCTATATGGATGCTTGAGTGTGTGGTGGGTTGTGTTACAGGAAAACGCTGTACTTGAGAATGAATCTATTGCTTTTGTGGTGAAAGGTAACAAGCCTACTCTTTGTCTTGGGGGAGATGTTGCCTTGTCCCTCAGGGCTGCATACGGTACACTGAACTCTCAGCAATGACCTGTGTAAAGAACCGCCAGGGCCTCGCATCCTTGCAAAACTTAGCAAGAATGTACAGGGATGCTCAGGGCCATGGCGGAGTACCTCTCCCAGTGATTTAGAGCTGGAAAGGATGTTAATGGTTTAAATCAGTGTTGTCCAGTAGAAATATAATGTGAACCACATAAATATTTTAAAACTTTTTAGTAGCCACATTGAAAACAGTTAAAAAAAAAAAGAGAGAGATGAAACTCATTTGAGTAATGTATTTTATTTAACCCAATATACCCAAGTCATTTTTATTTTATCATATAATCAACATAAAAGAATTATTAATGAGACTTTAAAATTCTCTTTTTTCATACTAAGTCTTCAAAATTCAGTGTGTGTTGTAAACCTGGAGCATTTTGCAATTTGGACCAGCCAGTCCTTGTCATGGTTTACTAGCTACATGGGGCTCATGGCTGCTGTAATGGACACTGCAGGTCTTAACCTTCAGAATTCATCTTGGAATGAACTTCACTACAGAACATGTTTTAAATTAGTGTTTCTTAAAATAGGATTTTAATATTAGTTTTATATCGTAAGAATTGCAGATAATATAACTAAATATTTTTTAAGCTGCTTGAGTATAATTTTTCCCATTTAGATATGAAATGGAGATCTAGAAAACCTTCCCTGGAGTCAGATGGCTGGACAGCTAACTGTGGAGGCTGCTCTCTTTCTGTCACATTGTAATACCTTCAGTTATTGTAGAATTCTATTTTGAGAAATAGATATTTGTGTTAAAAGTAATTTTTAGTTCTAATTGCATAAAAGCTGATTTAGAAACATGAAAGCTGAAGAGAAAAACCACCTTTTTTTTTTTTAATGTTTTATTTATTTCTAGGAGAGAGACAGTGTGAGCAGGGGAGGGTCAGAGAGAGAGGGAGTCACAGACTAAAACAGGCTCCAGGCTCTGAGCTGGCAGTCAGCACAGAGCCCGACACGGGGCCCGAACCCACGAACCGTGAGATCATGACCTAAGCGAAAGTCGGACGCTTAACTGACTAAGCCACCCAGGCGCCCCGAGAAAAACCATCTATTAATCCACATATATTCTCTATTCAGAAATGTATATTCCTTCTTTGGAATAAATTTATGTTCATTTTTTAGATTCAGCTCTTTTCATTTGAGTGCCTGTAAATGCCTGCCTCTTTCCTAAGCAGTAAAAACATGTTCTATCTTCTATGTTTGTACTTAGTGTAACTGTTATTTAATGTTGTTCTGATCATTATCTGTTCTATAGGGGTGTGGTACAGCTATTCAATGCTGTTCAGAAGCATCAAAAGAACGTTGACGAAAAGGTTAAGGAAGCTGGAAGCTCAATTAGAAAACGTGCTAAGCTGATATCGACTGTTTCCAAGAAAGATTTCATCAACGTTCTGAGAGGGATGGATGCAAGTACGAGTGGGAAAAGTTCGACTGGAAAGAACTTGAAAGCCAAACAGGCAAGGCTTTTATATAGAATTCAGTCCATCTGACTTTTAGCTCTTCAACTAAAGTTTTGGGTTGAAAAAGCACACTACAGATTTAAAAGTTTGGATTCCTAAGTTTCACGATGATTTATTCAGTATGGAAGTTGCCAGTTAAAAGTGACATATGTACCCCTGCCGTTAGAGATCGGGAACCAGAGGGTTTAGAGATGGGGCTGGATCTCTCGCATCTAAAACCCTGCCCTTCGTGCATTTGGGAGAATAGAAACCCAGGTGAGGGATACAGCTTCGGTGTGAGGTGTTTACCCACAGAGGTAACTGTGATGGATGTACCTTCTAAAACATGAAGGATCGGAGCCTTGGGGACCATGGTGGAGAGCCATCCTTGTGCTGAGGCCGCTTGGTGATGTCTGGCCAGATAGGAGTATGGATGCTGTGTGCCTGCCTGGCACGATAACTGGGCTTCTCCAGTCCTTTTCACCCGTGGGCCCCAATAGTTTCCTTTTTAATATACTAGGTGAGAGGTTCTGAAATGTGCCGTACTCTGAACAGGGCTATTTGTTTGTTTTTTTGTTTTGTTTTGCAATGGCAGCAAAGTACAGGTGTACTCGATGGATTCATTTCTGTTGCTGAGAAAAAGTACACCCCTCAGGAACCAGGGGTCTCTGTTAGAAGTTGTTAGTTTTCTGTTTGAAACTCTGGCAAGAAGGGCATCCAGGAATTCCCTGCTAGCCTGGGGTTCAAGTATTGTTTCAAGTTCTTTGATTAAGTTGCTGTTTTGCCTAATTTTGACAGATTTTTCTAGGCTGTTTAACTTTATCTCCTACATATTAAAGGACCCAAATTGTTTTTTAATTATCTATGTAATACTGACGATCACTGGTGCTGCTATTTTAAAATGTTTGTCAGAATTAATTATAAACACGTGAATACTATGTTTGGGAATTTATACTTTTTAGTTAAAAAATCTAAACTGCTGTGTTCTCACGAGGGACATTTTACTCTAAAAATTGGAGAAAGACCCAGCAGCATTGAACAAGAGCTAGCGGGAAAATGGAAAAAGAAAGATCTTTATTTATTTTTTTTTCTGTTCATTTTAAAATAATTTTTAATAGAAGCATTTGTTTAGCTTTGGGATTATTTTTTTCATGACTTGTGAAAATACATGGAGGGTTCTTTCCAGTGCCATTGTTTCTTCTTTCTTACCGTTTGCACTTTTGCCCTTGACTTTGTTTTAGTCTACTTCACTGTCAGACCGGTGTCTTTGCTCTCAAAATAATTTGTTTCTAGAACTTCTTATCCCACCCTAACAGCACTTTGGCACATTTGTTTTAAAAATGTTGCTTTCACTTTGATTTCATATTTATAGAAAAACAACGAGACTCATTTTTATTTGGCTCAGTTTTGCACATGAATAACAAAGAAGTTCTGTAGTATTTCTGATTGGGTCATTTATTAATATCAAAAATATTTACTAGTGCCTGTTTGTACCCGGTGCTATCCTTCTATCTTTTAAATTCAGATAGATGACTTAAATGAGCAAATAAGATTAACAGATTCTACATTAGTATGTCTGGACTGCATGTTATCATCAGTTATGCTACAGTAAGAGGTAGTAAGTCAGATGCTTACCTACAGTAAGGTAAATTAAGTGGCTGTCCTGTTTGTGGGAGAAATTTTGATTTAACTGTAATGTTCATTTAGGACATAGATCAGCAAACCTATGAAGTTACTTGAAATAGGTGGACTTTTGAGAGGGAGAGAGAATCCCAAGCAGGTTCCGCATTGTCAGCGCAGAGCCCACAAACCGTGAGATCATGACCTGAGCTGAAATCAAGAGTCAGATGCATGACTGAGCCTCGAAGTAGGTGGACTTTTAAAGCAGTTGAAGAGAAGGAGGGAAGGTAAAGCTGGAAATGGTGAGCCAAAATGCTGTTCAGAAATGAGAAGTAGATTAATAAAATGGATAAAGGAGGATATTAATTAAGTAGAAAATAAGATTTTCCTTTTTTTCTCTCGTATTTTGCCTTTTCCTAGCACCATTATCCTAATAGATGCTTCTTCCCTTCTCAGTCTAACAGGAGAGCTTTTATGGAAGTTCTTTGTCCCTTTCCCAGGCATAATGGATCAGGACCCAAGCTTTTTATCCTGTATTCCTAACGTTATGAAATCTTTAAAGTTCAGAGTCGGTCCATGTATAACCTGGATTCACTGGCAGCTATCTGTCCAAACGCCAATCTGGAAATACCTTCTTTATGTCTTCAAGTCCTTAACCCTGTTATTCCTGTTTTTCGTAGTTGTGGCATTAAAGTCTATGTTCAAAAACAAAAATGAGCCAGTAGTTTTATATTAAGAAAGCTGGATAGAATTGTAATAATATCAACTGGAGATTGGATCCATTATATGAACATACATTCGGAGTGCTTTCATTTTTGTTTTCTTGCTTTATTTTATTCCTCGGAAGCACTTAGAACTTGGGCTGATTATACGTAGTAGTTGGAATGGTGACCCCTAAAATGATAAGTCCATGTTCTGATTCCCAGAGCTTATGACTGTATTTTATTTAGAGAAGGGGTCTTTGCAGACATAATTAGCTTAAGGATCTTGAGGTGATAAGATCATTCCGAATTATCTAGGTGGGTTCTAATCCAGTGTTAAGTATCCTTACAAGAGATGCTCAGGGGAGATTTGCCAGACGGAAGTGGGAGGAAGCAAAGTAACCACAGAGGCAGAGGTGGGGGTGATGTGGCCACACGTCAGACAGCATTCAGTATGCAGGCATGTTCAGTACCATCCCCTTGTACCTCTCAGTGTTCCTGAGGTCACGGCGTTCAGAGACTGCACTACCTGTCCGGGCTCGGGCCTGTCGCCTGCCTCTGTGAGCCAGGGAGGGAATTTAAAATTCCGACAGCTTCTTCACACAGACTGTCAGCCAATCTTGTATCTTTATCACACCCTCTCACCCCCACTTGCCCCCTCACCTCCATTTCCTAAGCATGGATCCAATTTCTCACTTAAACATTAGCTTTTTCTTCTTTCTGATTGGTTACCACTACTCTATCCAGTTTTCGTTTATGTCCCAAAACTTGTTGGCATATTGTGTCTATATTTATTTCCCCTTCTAGATTGTTTCCTTGTTTATTTATAATTTTTATACTTACCATTTTAAGTGGACTTTCCGTAAGAATTAGAGATAAATGCACGTCTGCTATTTAATTGGAAGATTTCCTTTTTATTTTAAAAGCAAAGAGGTTAATCTTATTCTAACTTCCTATTGCTTTAACGGAATTATTGATAGTCTTTAGTTAATTATAAGGGGCGCTTGGGTGGCTCAGTCGGTTAAGTGTCCAACTCTTGGTTTCAGCTCAGGTCATGATCTCACAGTACGTGAGTTCTAGCCCCATGAGTTCAAGCCCCAGGTTAGGCTCTGTGCTGACAGCCTGCTTGGAATTCTCACTCTCCCTCTCTCTCTGCCCCTCCCCAACTGGCACGCATATACACTCTCTCCTAAAATAGAATAAAAAACTTTTTAAAAAGTTAAAAATTAATCATAAAATATTTCACAAACAGTAAATCTTTAAATATTTCATAATAGAAAATTTTTAAAAATTTAATGTTTATTTTTGAGAGAGAAAAATAGAACGTGATTAGGGGAGGGGCAGAGAGAGAGGGAGACACAGAGTCTGAAGCAGGCACAGAATCTGAGCTGACAGCACAGAACCCGACGTGGGGCTCAAACTCAGGAACTGTGAGATCATCACCTGAGCGGAAGTCAGACGCTTAACTGACTGAGCCATCCAGGTGCCCCAGTAATAGAGATTTTTTACCTTTTGAAGTGGATTATTTAAAAACTACTTGTTTCTAAACATTTTTCTAAACTTGTAGCCTTACAGAGAGGAAAGTGTCCATGTAAAGCAGACATATGCATCTCCTGCATTTTTCTGTGTCTGCATCTTGGAGGCAAGCTTTCTGAGCATCCCTCTTCCTTTTAGGATCTTTAGATATCTGAGTTCATCCTCTGTCATGCGGGTGGTTAACACTGTGTCTTAGAAAATAAAGAAAAGAGAGTGTATGATTAAAAAAAAATCTAGTGTATGGATTTCATTTTTTAATCTGATAGATAAGCAGAATTATTAAGTCATTTCTTTACACATCACACAGCTATGACCTGCCTTTAAATCTGTTTTAAGAGTCGTATGTATTATGCACTACACATCTACATTTGATTTATTTCATTTTATGTCTTTATATTTGTTATTTTTGTGAACTACAACTTTAACTGTTAAAAGTCAGCTTGTTATGGTTAAAAACCATAATCTTCAAAGGCTTTTGATTCCTAGATAGGAGCAAAATTTTTTGTATGTTCCAAAGACTGCCTTTCATATTATTAGCTATTTATCAAGGTATTTTTAATCTTCTGACTCTGCTGACTTAGAGAATATTGTTGGCCTTGAATTTTTTAAATCTGTTTTTTCTTAATTTTATTATATGCAGTCATTATTTCTGGAGTAAAGGCTTTCTGGGAAAGCCTTCCTTAGAGGCCAAAAAGGTATAATTGCTTTTTAAAGATCATTTTTAGGGCAAGAGAGTTTGAAAAGACATAAGTTAAAAGATGTCAGACTGATATATTAAATTACATTTGAGTCATTAATTACTATACTTTATTTCTTGGAGCTGAGCCTGGAAACCGCAAAGTAAAACAAAAAGGTACTTGATGGGCTCATTTCAGAAGAGATAACAGCTAATATCTGTAAATCAAAAAGCCTTCACTAGAACTTAGGGTAAGTAGTATTTTAAGTATTTTTCATCTATTAAAAAAATGAGCTATTTCTCCCGTTACATATGAAAGGGTTAACTTTTTTTTTTGTCCTTAATAACAATTGAACATCTCTTTTGTCATGTTAACCCGGGCCGTTTGTACAGTGGATGTCCATTACTTTAATGAATGTAAATACATCACACCTCTGTCATTTACAAATGTAACAATCTATTTGTTTTCTTCTTTTGAATTCCTT